TAATGATAAATCTACAAGGTCCAACATTTGATTAGCAGGAACTCCATAAAGAGTAAAAACAGAAGGAAAAAAAAAACATGGAAATGGGGAACAGTCATATAAATAATGAGAAAATTTCCAAGAGTAAGAGTACCTGAGTCTCTAGATTGAAAAATTCCACTGAGGATTAGGAAATTGAATACATCAAAGATAAAGAAGAGACTTTAAAAGCTTCCAGGCATAGGAGTGGGAAAACAGATCACTGTAATGTAAATACTATTTATTGACTGTCAAATAAATAATAATCAGATTGGAATCAGGCATCTCATTAGTAGCAGTAGATGCTGTAAGCCGGTGAAACTAGGGAAATTTTTCAACCTAGAATTCCAGAGCCAGTCAAACTACCTATCAAGTGTGAGATCAGAGAAAGATGTATAAACACTCAAAAACTTTGCCTTCCATATACTCTTTCCTGACAGAAGACTTGACATGTGCTATAGCAAAATGATCAAGTAAACAAAGAAAGAGGGAGACACAAAATTCAGAAAACAGTTCAGTCCCGTGTAACAACAGAACAACAGGCAGAAAGCGCATCAAAGACAGATTAGAGCAGGAGGCCGAAGGCGGACTATACAGAGAGAAAAGAAGGGAAGTCAACAGAATATTTAATTGGATAGAAAATTTGAAAATGACTGAGAGTGTGCTGAAAGCAAGGTGAAAAAGAAAGGCAACTAGAAACTTCAGTTAAAAAGGAAACATAAACACTGTAAGCTAAGATCTGCAGTCAACAATATTCACATGGTCATAATATTGTTCATGCTGTTTACTTTCAACTTTTGAAATAAATCAATAAACAAAGCATAAAATCCTAACTGGTTACAGAATAGAATTTAAGAATTATCAGACCTGACAATGAAAGAGACAACAATGTGGAAAAGGGAAGGAGAAAGAAACAGAAGGGTTCTTCCAACATATTACAAAATGGGGAATTGAGATATGGTTTATAGTTAATAAATTAGATATGTAAATATAATTTATTTTTTAAAATTCTTGCTCTTTATAGAAATACAGAAATTACTAAGAAAGAAACCCTTTTAATACCCCATAATCCTATTATCCAGAGTATAGTGGTTTGAATCTAAGCCTGTAATTAGCCATCTGTATGGCTGTAAGTCATTTAACCACTTATATTTTCTTATTTGCTTCAGGTAATTTATATACTTCTTAATAGTATATAGTATATATCACTGCAATAGTATATGAGAACTGTATTATATATACAATTTTTAATCCAAAATTTTCACTTTAAAGCAAAAAAGTAAATCTCTGGATACACAGCATGTACACTTGTATACATGTATTAATAAATATACTTCTGAATACGCCTTTGGCCATAAGGTAGTCAGGGGTTTCCCAGAGATGGAACTTGAACCAAATATTACAAGAAACTTAAGCTTGCAAAAGTAGAAGGGAATTGAGTGGGAAGTAGTGATGAGGTATTACAGGAACTAAGAAAAGTGTAAGCAAAGGCAGTAGTGATGAGGTATTACAGGAACTAAGAAAAGTGTGAGCAAAGGCACAGAGGAGACCAAGCATGTGCCTCTAGGCCGCAGTAAAAGGTGCCTGAAAGTGAAGAGATGAGCCTGGAAAGAGATTAAGAGCTCAGTAAATCATGTTAGGAATCCTGATATTTTTCCCACAACAGACATAACAGGACCAAGCAGACCATGTTTGCTTTGGCACTCCAGAATCTAGCATAATGTTCACCACAAAGTAAACACAAAATACTTTTCTAATCAATGAGTGATGCTCAGGAAGGCAGAAATGCCTTCTGGGCATTCAATCTGGGTGCCCCAGGTAGTGGGGAGAATGTCATTTGATGAGGGAAGGAATCCAAGAGAAAAACAATTTTAAAGGTTATGCATCTGAGCAATACTCCTAACCTCATTTAAAAAAGTCACTGGTGATTACGTAATGCATCCCCAGATTAGACTTAAGGCCCTAGATTTATGTATTAGCTTCAGAGAGCCTGCATGACCCCCAAGCGGGCACAATTTGATGTGCAACATACATTTCTTGGGGGAAGAGGTTTCACAATCTCCACTGGATTCCCAAAGGGGCTGCAACCCCAGAAAGGTTGCAGTATCTACACTGGATGAGCAAGTGGCGAGGTGACAGATGTGGGAGGAGGACCACTACCTAAGGGAGGGGATCCAGGGCAGATGAAGAATTGGCTTTGTCCAAAGACACCTCTTCATAAGCCTGGAGGAATTTATGGCTGTGTTTGAGTCTGCAACTTTGTGTGCGTTAGGAATTGAAGCCTTTCTCCTGCGCTCCCAGAGTACTGTACATGATTTCACCATCAGCTGTGCATCACTTGTGCTCCACTTAATACATATCTGTTGGTCTCATTTGAGGATGAGGACAGATTTTTCTGGCTCTACTCTTAACGACAATCACTAGGCCTGGAACAGAGCTCTTTTCTGGACAGCTAAGTCTGACAGCTCTCAGCAACTTGGGAAAATGGGGCTTCGGAGTTCCCAACCACTTCTAGCAAGACTACCCAAAAGAGATGGGAGATGAGCCCAAAGAATAGGAACCTAAGCAAATGGACAAAAGGTAGTCACTCCTCCCTTATTGTAAATCATAAAGAAAATGGCAGGCTGCAATTTATTTTGAGGGCTGGAATTAAGATGGAGAGATATTAGCTGGGGAAGGATCTGATCCATCTAGTAATCAATCCACTTGGCTCACATGATTTGCACAGAATCAGAGGCCCTGAACCTGGACGCAGGTTTATGGAAACTCAGACTTAGAGATGAAATCCAAGTAGAAATGTAAAAAGTCATAATATGTACCAAAAGTATGTTGTGTAAAACTTGGTTTGCTCATATAAATAAAACATTTGGTATATTCACTTAAATAGAAGTAAGTGGCAGAATCCTCTAACATCCAATGGTTGGCAGAGGCACTGATGGACACCTAGTCCAGTCAGTGTAAAGTAAGTGTCCTGTTTTGCTGAAAATACATAGAATGTTTTGCACATACAGATCTTTATACTGGAGCATCCCCACCCCTTCCACCTTTGATCACACACATTCTTGGCCTGCAGCCTTTACTTTTTGCTACAGTGGTTCATACCCTTTGCTGTACATTGTAATCCTCTCCAGAGTTTTAAAAAATACTGAGGTCTAGAAATGTAAACTTTAAAAAAGCGTCCAAGGTGATTTTAAAGTGAAGCCAAGGTTTAAAACTACTATTTTACTGCAAGGTTGGTTCAGTGAATCTCAAACCTAGTTTTGCATCATAATCTACGGGGTAGCTTTTCTGAACTACCTGTGAATGAAAATCACAATCATCTATAATTGAATATTCAATTATGAGGATAAACATATGTGATACTAGAATGGTTTAACTATCTTAATGGTCATAAATCCCAGCTGCAATTCTTTCAGCAAAGTAGCTTTGGTCTCTTGGTGGGTCAAGGTCACAGTTATCTCAAATCTTCAGACGTGCTTCCTGCTATTCTCAGCTTCCTGATAAGTCTGGGGAAAAAAATTAACTTGTTCCTACTCTCAGCAGAGACACATGGTGTTATATTTGGGTCTCTCCATTCCGTCAGGGAGACTGGAACAGTCACTGTTAGGATTGGTTAGGGCATGAGTATTTGATCCTACTTTGAATCCTTTTGACTTCCTGTATTTCTGTCTCTATGATTTAGAGTGAAACTGGAAAAATAAGTTGCATATGTTTTGACCAAAAAAATAGAGGAAGGAGGAAAAAGAGGAAATTAGTGAGCTTTCTTGTGTATGCCTTCTGTATGTGAAAATGCACTGTAGGCCAGGCATGCTGGCTCACACCTGTAATCCTGGCTCTGGGAGGCCGAGGCAGGTGGATTACGTGAGGTCAGGAGTTCAAGACCAGACTGGCCAACATACTACAACCTTGTCTCTACTAAAAATACAAAACAATTAGCCAGATGTGGTGGCACACACCTGCAGTCCCAGCTACTCTAGAGACTGAGGCAGGAGAATTACTTGAACCTGGAAGGCAGAGGTTGCAGTGAGCCAAGATCATGCCATTGCACTCCAGCCTAACCAACATAGCAAGACTCCAAGAAAAAAAAAAAGTTCTCTGTAAACTAGAAAACACTATGTGATTAATATTTGGTCTTGTAAAAATGTGATAATGAATGCATGGGACTTCTGTGTGAGAGCTGCATCAGGCTCAGCATTGACGATAAATGCTCTTGCATGCCCTAAGGCATTGGAACCAGGTGGAGGGACAGAGCCAGAAATCAGGAGACCCAAATTCTAGTCTTAGGTTTGCTGCTCTCTGGTCACAGTGCCTAAAGCACACCCCAAAATCTTTCACATCAGCATCCTCACCTGAAAAATGAGACTACATACTTTGTCTCCCCCACAGGTCTGCATGAGAATTACAGGTGTTTAGGGAAGTAGTGAGTCAGAACAGAGAGCCAGGATTCAGGTCCTGGACTTGGATATAAGGCTGTCACTTGTTACTTGGCCTTGCACTAAATTACCATTCTCAGGTAAACGGGCAACCGCCTTTCAGTGTTGTAAGGACCAAGGCAGTGATCTATGTGAAAGTGTGCGTTATGTGCCAGGTATCACGATCAATACATGAGGGTACACATACAACAAAGAACACAAGTTCTATATAAATACAAGACAATATTACATAACTCTACCTATTGCATAGTTTTATAAATCATTTTTCCAGGAGTAAAGGCTCAATGGTAACAAAGATATCTTACCTTAGCCAGTTTCTTCATCATTCTAAAAGTTTTCATATTCCAGTTCCTCTGAACTTCTCAAAAAAACAAATTCAGACCTTAGAAATCTTACTTCCACCTCCCCTCTCCCTTCACGTTCCCTCTTTTGTCCTCTCAGAATGAGAACTCTACCATTTCTTCTAAACACCATCCAGAATGTGAGAATGAAACCTAAACTGAGACCCCTGGATGGACTTGAGCAGAATAACAGCAGAGACAACTAGGGCATGCCTCTAGGCAAGCTTTATTCTTTGACTCCTTTATCCAGGAAGGGGGCTGTTAGTTGCATCTCACCCAAATGGAATGCGATGGGAATTAGGGGTTTGAGTAGTTTGGAGAAGGAGCTGTCGATCTTAGCAAATATATAGCTGGTGTGTGGTGTCCATCAATCCATGCAGACTAGGAAGTGGTCAGAACAGACTCAGAGGTCCCCAGAGCTTTACAACACCAAGGTTCAGGAGGTATAGACAGTAAGGAAAAAGGCCATTTCCTTTTTCTGTCCATTTTAGGTACAGTAGACAGTTTTTTTTTGACTGGCTTTTTAAAAATTACCTAGGAAATGGGAAACTTAAAAACGTTCATAAATAAATTGCTGAATTGCTACCCCAAGTAGTTTCCTTACCTAGTCACCGCTTAACCAAAAATACCAACACACAGGTCAACCAGAATTCAAACAGGCAAATAACCTGCCTGTTGCTCAAGCAACAATCAGAGTTTTAAAAAACAAAATTAGGCAAAAAAGACCTTCCCCAAACAGCATCATTACCACTTAGCTTTGTATGACCCATTCCTAAGAAAGCCACATTCCATTTCAGAAAATATGACTGCTTAAGGTACAGTTAAAGTCCAGGTGCTTACTTTTGTTTTCTTTAAATTAGCCTCTGAAATGCTTATCTTGTGTTTTGTGCTGCATTCCTGAAAACTGTAACTTTTAAGGACACAGGCCTCACTTTTATAGAGGAGGAAGAAACAGCAAGAGGTGTCTCATTTGGGATGCAGAAGGTTATAACCAATGCTAGAGGTCTTCCTCTTTCTTCCTTGTTATTCAACAAGATGGGTTCTGTGGTGTCGCATGAGGTGTGAGTTAGAAATGAAAGCTGCACCACACTTCTCACATTCATAGGGCTTCTCCCCAGTGTGGGTTCTCTGGTGCACCGTGAGGCTTGACCTCTGTCTGAAGGCCTTCCCACATTCATTACACGTGTAAGGTTTTTCTCCATTATGGATTCTCTGATGAATAAGTAGGTATGAGCTACATGTGAAGGCCTTCCCACATTCATTACACACGTAAGGAAGATCTCCACTGTGAATTCTCTGGTGGACAATAAGGCAAGAGAGCTGACTAAAGGCTTTCCCACATTCGCTGCAGTCGTAAGGTTTCTCTGCAGTGTGAATTCTCTGGTGCACAATAAGGTGTGAAAAACAACTAAAGGCTTTCCCACACTCTTTACATTCATATGGCTTCTCACCAGTATGGCTTCGCTGATGTACGATAAGATTTGCACTCTGGGTAAAGGCTTTGCCACAATCGTTACAGGCAAAGGGCTTCTCTCCAGTGTGGATCCTCTGGTGGACAATGAGGTTTGAGCTCCTAGTAAATGTTTTCCCACACTCATTACATTCATAGCATTTTTCTGTAATGTGGACTTTCTGGTGCCGAGCAAGTTGGGAGCTATAACTAAAGGCTTTCTCGCATTCACTGCACTTAAAAGTTTTTTCTAAGGAGTGAATTTTTTGATGTACAGTCAGATTTGAACTCTGAGTGAAGGCTTTTCCACATTTTGAGCAAACATAAGGTTTCTGTCCAGTGTGGATTCTCTGATGCACAACAAGATTTGCACTCTGAATAAAGGCTTTCCCACACTCATGACATTCAAAGGGTTTCTCCCCAGTGTGGATTCGCTGATGCACAACGAGGTTTGCACTCTGACTAAATCCTTTCCCACACACGCCACACGTAAAAGGCTTTTGCCCAAGCTGGGTTTTTGGATTTTTAACAGTTCCAGAATTAAGGCTGTATTTCCCCCCAGATTTCTTACATTTCTGATCTTCCTCTTCTTTGCAGCTTTTAGGCAAGTGACAGTCATTCACTATCACTTGTCTGAAATCTTTCTTTTCCCTCTTTATTCTCTGTCTCTTTAACATGCTGCCTTTTTCGCAAGCTTCTCCTAACTCAGGTCCTTGAGGATCAGCTTTCTGGATTCTTCCTGATATTATGAGGGGTTTTTCAGCTTCCTCACATATCTCAGTTTTTGGAACCAGTAACTGTAAGTTCTTGGTTTCAGCACCTGAAACAAGAAACAGAAAATACAAACGTTAGCTTTCTCTGACCTAGAAAAAGAATAGGATCATCAAGTCATAAAAGGAAGTGTGTGATTTCAGCACCTCCAGAAAATGGCTTCATCGCATCAAAAAATTCCATCACAAGTTACCTGTCCTCTGTGGGTTCTTCAGCTGGGGCTGTGCTTGCCCTGCTACCTACAGCAGAATCCACTGACTCATGGTCTTTCCAGCACTTCCACTTACCTTCATTAGACGCTTAACCCCACTGCCTCATGCCAGGGAGGCCCAATTCCCAGATAGCATTCCTCCTGGCTGTCTGATGACTGATCTTACAAGAAAGACCAGTTATGAAGAACACCAGCCTCTCCCTAGGCTTGCCTTCTTACCTTACCTTAGTGTGGATTTGCTTACAACCTACCAGTTAATTAGGGAGACTTGCTACCTGTAAGCATAAAGATCTGGCAACTGAGGCTTCTATGTCAAGGATGCTGGATATCAAAGAAAGGATAAGCATGGACAGAAAGGTTCACACTGGCTACCAAGACAGCCACAGCAGCCAAAAGCATATGAAACACTGCAAAGCCATGAAGCATACAGGTTAAGAACATGGATTCTAGAGCCAGACTGCCTGGTTTCAAATCTCTGCTCTGACACTAACTAGCTGCATGACTTTGGGCTACTTAACTCCTGTGTGTCTCAGTTTCCCGGTCTCCCAATCAGGGATACTTACGGTATCTATCTCATAAGGCCGTGAGTTGATTAATGGAACTACTCTATGTCAACTACTCAGACATTGCCTGGAACACAGGGCTCTGAATGTGTGCAGCAACTTTCAGGCTGACTGATGATGCTGTGACGGGCCAGAAGGAAAGATGAACCCTTAGGTGAGGGGAGTTGCTGTGGTGACAGACAGCTACACTAGGAGAATTAAAAAATAAACCGTACATAGTAAACTCTTACCCTTGTGTCATGGAGATAGCTTACTACTGTGTCAAGGAAAGCTGACCTTGCTGAGTTATAGCATAGCCTGGTCCACGATGCCAGAAAATACCTGGAGAACATCAAAACACCCTGAAGCTTTATGACACTGATTAGTCTCTGGATGCTTTCCATTGCTTCAGAACCTAACGGTGTCAAAAAGGAGTCCTTCTATCAGTAACACTGTAGTAGTTCTTTATGTTTGTCTCCTCTCTACCCTCACCATCCTTGACCTTGAAATGTGTACCCATGTAACGCAGGTTTGGCACAGTGAACCCTTAATAAGTGTCTGTCAATTAAACCAAGCTCAGGATATAAGGCAAGTGAAATAAAGGGTAACAGGGATGAGTAGCAAGCCTGCAGAGGAGGGAGGTATTCCTACTGGTGATGCCAGCTCAGAAATGAGCAGTGGTGCTGTGAGCTTCAGGTTATAACTGCTGCAACTGCACAGGGGAGAGTCTAGCACCCAGGAGAGGGAAATATCCTACTGGATGACCATCTAACCAGTGATATGAGTGGGTGGGACAAGGATGTTGGGTGGCTGGAGGCAGGAAAACAGCCTGGTTTGATTGCCTGGTTAAGACTATGGTAATCAGAAATTCTATCACAATCATTCAGACATGATGAGCAGTGTCAGAGAAAAGAAACACCCAAGTGGTGGATACAATAGAGCCCCAACTATGACAATAAAAATCTGAAATGCTGGCCGGGAGTGGTGGCTCATGCCTGTAATCCCTGCACTTTGGGAGACTGAGGAGGGCAGGTCATCTGAGGTTGCGAGTTTGAGACCAGCCTGGCCAACATAGTGAAACCTCATCTCTACTAAAAATACAAAATTAGCCAGGTGTGGTGGCACATGCGTGTAGTGCCAGCTACTTGGGAGGCTGAGACAGGAGAACTGTTGAACCCAGGAGGCAGAGGCTGCAGTGAGCTGAGATCATGCCACTGCACTCCAGCCTGGGCGACACAGAGCAAGACTGTCTCAAAAACAAAAAGAAACATCTGAAATGCTATACTACTTCTGGTTATTTCTATTCCTACTGTTCTGATTATGCCTCTTTTAAAAAATGTACTATTTTTCTCTCTCTAGTTTACTTGCTCTTTTATCTTCTGCTTTTTTTTTCCTATTACCTCTACCCACTACTGCCTCTTCATCTCTCTCCTCTCCTGTTTTTGTAATTTTTGTGTGTGAAATATTTTGAATTTTTCCATATACAGTTTCATGTATCTTCTCTTTTTCTTTTGCTGACTGCTTTGTTCTCTTTATGCTCTCTACTATTCTCTATCACCTACATCCCACTTTATTCTTCTCCCATCTAACGTCTCCTTCCTTGCTTCTTTTCACTTCCTCTTTTGCTTTAACTCCATCACTGATACCTGGGCCTCCCATCCCCCAACTGGGCATCTCTCCAAGAGAAAGAGAGCCCATGAAAACTTTAGTTCACAGCTGTACTGTCTCCTGGACCTTCACTCCTACCCTCTGTCCTGGGAGATTTAGAATGTTAGGCATAAAAAATGAAGATCAATGGGAATTACTAAACTGATTAGAGCCAATCATGGAAACAATTCCTTCTATCTGAATAATCTTATGTCAAAACCATTACAAAACCAGGTGCAACTGTAGTCTAGAAGGTTTTCATGCAAGTGATTCATCACTGAGTAAAGTAAGACCTAGGGTCTTGGCAAGCACCCAGAGTCTAAGAAAAGAGAATTAGGGTCTATCTGGTGCAGACAAGTACAAATTTCCTTGGGTGAAAAGATTAATAAGCAAATAATCTGAGCATATAACTTTGGCTTATTTGAAATGGTATTTTTCCTTTTTCTAAATCATGTAGGATTACATGTAGCTCTAGAGAAATTAAGTACAGAAATCATGAAAAACTAAACCAAAAACTAATTGTGACCAACTAGAACATAAGCATAGCCATAGTTTTGAAATCAATACTTTTCTTTCACTCTTTTTAAAAAGAGACCTGAAATGCTACATGAGCTTGACATTTTAGCTGGTGATTATATTCTGAGGTAAAAAGGGTAATTTGATTTACTAAATTTATAAGTCCAATTCATTAGATTTATAAAAGCTGTGTGTTTATCAAAATTTTACTTACATGATTCTAAGTGTGCCCAGTTAGGTGTTTGAAATGTTTTAAAGAACTAAAGATATAAAATTTGCAATTATGTTTTATATAAGGAAATTTGATAAGCAGGTAGAATTAAATGTTTAAATATTTTATTTTATTTTATTTATTTTTTTAGATGGAGCCTCACTCTGCTGCCCAGGCTGGAGTACACTGGTGCAATCTGGGCTTTCTGCAACCTCTGCCTCTTGGATTCAAGTGATTCTCCTGCTTCAGCTTCCAGAGTAGCTGGGACTACAGGTGCGCACCACCACGCCTGGCTAATTTCTGTATTTTTAGTAGAGAAAGGGTTTCACCACGTTGGGCTGACTGGTCTCGAACTCCTGACATCAGGTGATCAGCCTGCCCTGGCTTCCCAAAGTGCTGGGATTATAGGTGTGAGCCACTGTGCCTGGCTGAAATGTTTAAAAAAATTAAATCTGTAAAATTTGAAGCTTAATTGAACATGAACTAAAGAAAAAATACAAATATCCCAGCTACTCGGGAGGCTGAGGCAGAAAAATCACTTGAGCCCAGGAGGTGGAGGTTGCGGTGAGTCAAGATCACACCATTGCACTCCAGCCTCGCCAAGAAGGGCAACAGGAACAAAACTCCATCTTAAAAAAAAAAAGTTCTCACTTTTATACAAATATTTCTAGATGTATGGATGAAGTAAAAAAATATGCCTAATGGCTTAAAAATTGGTTTTTAAATGAATAAACTTTAATAAATTCAACATTAGTTAAAATATGAAAACTGCGGTTAAAACTTGCTCAGATATTAAAAACCCAGTAACATTACAATTTCCAAAGTCCTTTCAGGTATATTATACAATTTCATCATGAAGATGAAACTGTTCTTCTTCAATTGTGTGGGAGCCAAAAAATGGGTAAGGTTGTGTCTTACTCATTTCTGTATCTTCAGCACCTATCACTCTGCCTGGCACAAAGGAAGGAGGTCGCCAATAAATCCTATACTTAATGAATAAACACACCCAACTTGTAGAAAAGGAAATGAAGGTCCAGAGAGAGAAGGGACTTATTCAAGGTCAGAGTTACTACAGGCAGGGCAGCAACCCCACTAAGATGTCTCTCACACATGTAGCTCAGTGTTCCTGCCATTACCTACTGCCATCACTATGGAAATAGTGTTGGCAGTGTTCCTGCCATTGCTATGGAAATAGCTGGCAGCACAAAATGATAAGTCTTGGGTATGAACATGGTCTTGGAGTAAGAGGCAAAGTAGAAAACGGGAGGCCATCCCTGATGATGTCTAGCTGTTGAGATTAAGACTATGAATGGCTGATAAAGCAACGAGACAAAGTAAGTCACACGCAGGGGAATGCACCAGAGAGACTGGAACAGAAAGCAGAAGGTGGGGAACAGAAGCTGCTGAGAGTTTGGGAATAATTAAAGATGAGACAAGAAAATCTAGGCAGAGATCCTAGTTTTCCCCATAGGACTGGTTTAAGAAAGTGACTTGGTCCCCAGATGCCTGAGGAACTGGCTAGGGAGGAGAGTGGATTCAAAGTATTCAATCTCTGGCAGACTCATAAAAAGAATATGGCTTAGCAGTCATCTGATAAGTGCTTTGAAACACAGTACTCATGGCTTCTGCATTCTTGACCCTCACTTATATGTCACTCCTCCACAGGCAAGCTTCTGCCACTGCCACTGAGATATTTAGGACATAATACACTTTCCCGAGTCCTAAGTTAGAACAAGGTGATATGCCATCAGTAGCCTCCATGAAGACCAAGTTTTGAACGTCATTATGATTGACATAGCTGCTCAAAATCCTCTATAATTTGCACAAAGATCTATGAAAACAGAACATTTCCAGGGCATTTGCTCAAAATCACCACAAAAGTTGACTGTTCCTATCTTAGCTAGCTTCTCTTGCAGCCTCACCAACCTATGCTAACTACAAAGCATATAAAAGAATACATGTGACTACATATGTGCACAGAGATGAAACTCACTGAACAATAAATCTCACTGAAAAGTGAGTCTGGAATTCACCTATTGTATGGTAAATACATAATGGCAATAACTTAAGCATACCCTGAGAATGAGCCTGTATGGCACACACACCTGAATACAGTTTGGAATTCAAGCAAAGGATTCTAGAAGTGGCCAACCTGGAGATCCATTCCTTATCCATTCCTCACCCCTTTCAGTGGAATGTGAGTCCTCCATGGGATTGAGGCCCCTTGTTTTGGGCTAAAGTAAGGCTACTAGGTGGAGGTCATTGGGGGGAGGGTGTTAAGTGAAAATGCTAGATAAACTGCATGCCTTTTGCAAGTGGTTGCAGTTCTCTTGACCAGCCTGTGCCGCTGGGCCATGTGGTTCTCCTATGTCCAGCCAGCTGCCATTAGACTCTCTATCCTGTACATAAACATCTAGTAAAACTCCATGTCTTGTTTGCTGGCTCTGGGTCTCTTCTTCAGCCTCTTGAACATGGTGCCATATTGGTTTTGATAAGGTTTCAGCACAACACCTATGTTTGTCTGGTATCTTGAGCCTGTGTGCAAAATAAGCCACTTCCCATAACAAAGGCACAGGCATTTCATCATTCCCCTACCCAGCTTTCCTTGATACTTTCAATATCTCAGTACTCTGTTGCTCAACCATGGAGACTGGACGCACACCACAGTCTCTGAAAAGATTTTGAGAAACCTCAAAGACCAGATTCTGAATCAGGGAATTGAACCATACCTAGAAAGCTCATGGTCCCATGAGTCTCCAGTATCTCACTCTTGGCCAGAGTCCCCGGTAATGAGTAGCTGCCAAGGGGTGAAGCAGCAGGTGCCTCCTGAGTTGCTTTCAGGACTACCGCCATGTCCCAGAGTATGTTCTGACCCTAGAGACAAGCAGGCACATATTTAAGAGGGAACTGGTGGTAGAGGGTAGTATGATTAAAGTTTTGATAATAAGAACATAATTATCTATTTCTGGAGTCCATAAAGCAATTTTTAAAAACAGAAAAGGAAGCCAGGGTCTCCCCCAACCTCCAAGGTGAGCTGGGCAGAGAAGCCAGCTACTTTCTTCCTTATCATTTTGATTACACCTCACTGCTTGCTCCAGAATCTAAGTCTAGCTTGCCAGTGAGTATATGACAGGAGGGGAGAGCACATGGGGAGAATTTTCAGAGTGAACTTTTGTGGGATCTAAAGATCAAAGCAGCAAGGTTTTAATGATATTATTACAGAAAGCCTCTGGGGCACCTCTGCCCTCATCTGACTAGTAATGGTAAGTGGTACGTTTGAAACATTAAAGACAGCACAGTGTACAGCCTCATGACTCAAAGTGTGGTCCGAAGCTCAGCAGCAGTATCTGTATCACCTGGAAGCTTGCCAAAAAATGCAGAATCTCAGACCACCACCTAGATGTCCTCAATCAGAATCTCAATTTTAACTATTTAAACAAGAGCCCCTAGGTGATTTTTATGCACATTAAAGTTTTAGAAGCTCTGGTTAGCACTGTCAAAACCTGACTGAAATCACCTGAAAAGTTTTAAAAAATATGGATAACACAGGTCCCACCCCCAGATGCTTTTTTTTTTTTTTTTTTTTTTTTTTTTTTTTTTTTTTTTTTTGAGACAGGGTCTCACTCTGTTGCCCAGGCTGGAGTGCAGTGGCATGAATGTAGCTCACTGCAACCTATGCCTTCCGGGCTCAGTCTTCCAATCTCAGCCTCCTAAGTAGCAGAGACTACAAGCACATGCCATCATGTCAAGCTAATTTTTTAAATATCTGCATTGCAAAATACAAGGTTCTGCAATGTTGCCCAGGCTGGTCTTGAACTCCTGAGCTCAAGTGATCCTCCCGCGTTGGCCTCCCAAAGTGCTGGGATTACAGGTGTGAGCCACTGTGTCTGGCCTCGATTCTGATTTAATGGGAACAGAGTTCAGCATGGATATCAAGATTTTATAAAAAGCTCTCCAGGTTCTGTGTAGCAAAATTCAAGAACCCCTGGGTTATAAAAAGTACTGAATGTGACATCAATCAGAAGTGCAATTTCTATCCTATTAGAAAAGACTGCAAGCCAGAATAGTACCCAAGAAATAAGACCTCCATGTGTGGAAGTAGAGGGTCTGAGTCCCCTCTTAAAACTACTTGAGGTCTTCAGATCTCTCCTCTCATCTTCTTCCCAGGCCCCCATTTACCTTTTCTTCCTCTTCTGATCCATCAAGTCCTGTTTGAAGACCCTTCCCTGGGGCCCAGACTTCAATGTTCTCAGAGTGCACTTGTTGGCTGGATGCCTGACCTGGGAAGTTTTCTTCTTCTTCCTCTTCCTTTTTCACCTTCACTGGGCCCCATGGGGGTACGGCCATGGCTTCTCTCAATTCTGCAGTCATCTTCTCTGCTCAGCAGGGGAATTCCTGTAGCTGGGAGCTGCCCAGCTGAGGCCAAACCCCATCTAAGCTTTATGTTTCAAAAGCTTCTTCCTGAGTGTCTTCCCAGGGCCAAGGTGAGTATTGTCTACTGAGAAATCAGAAAACATTGTTAGCACCAAGGAGAAATTTGCCTGGATGCCACTTAGCACACCAGCAAATTTCACCAGTGCCTGGCCAGGGGCCACTGTAGGACATGGATTCCTCTATTCCTCCCTCATAGGATGAAGGAGTTGGACTGTAAATATGTAATTTCTTCCCATAATAACCACATTGCAAACAGCCTTATATAATGTTTATTGATGATTTTCCTGATTAAAAGTTAACATACTTTTATTGTAAAATCTTTAAAAATGCAGAAAATGATTTAAAAAAAGAATCTCAGTCTACCTCCAAAGAGATAACCACTACACATTTTAAGATTTAAAATATTTCTTTCAAAGGAAAATCTCCAACCATACTACCAATAATTATGATTTTATAAATTCTTGTTTTTGACTATGGGGATACATATTTTCACAATTATCATAACATTTTTAAAATAAGATCTTACAACAAAAAGATTTTTTATTGCCAAGGATACAAAATAATGTGAACAAAACGATCCCAAGAAGACTGGGAATCTTTATACCAACACGTTAGGAGAGGTAGTTATCTCTGGGTGGTGTAATTACAGGTAGTTTTAAGGTTCTTTTCATTTTCTTGTTTGATTTTTACATTTTCCATCGCTTCCAAATGTCCTGTGAGATAAAATATTACAATTAAGATTTTAAAAAAGATTACTTTCATATTGACATTCTTCATGCTCATTGTAAATGCTACACAATAATCTATGGTGTTGATAAATCTTCACTCCCACTGAAAAGGGATCAAGTAATACAGAAATACATAGAATTAAATATACAACCAATACACACTACATACATACACAGAGTAATTACACACTACATACATACACAGAGTAATTAGTTATCAGTCTAGATAGGAGTCCTAATCCATTTTCTCTATATTTACATACTTAGATGTATACCTTCACACATATTGTTTATTTTTCAAAAACATGCTTTAGATCATCACAGTTATATATTGTTCAGTAACCTGAATTGTTTTTAAATTCAATTTCTGTATTTTACAATAGTCTTAGCAGTCTTTCAATACAATACATATAGAACTACCTCATTCTGGCATAGCACTCTAAATTGTGGCTATCTTATTGTTTACTTAACCATGTCTTATTTATGAACCATTTATTTAATAAAAGCGTACACTTCCATTTTACTAATATTTGTTCAAAAACTTTTTTTTTTTTTTTCCTGAATTATTCCTTTAGAATAATCAGAGAATTACTGGTTCAAGTATTTGCTGGTTGATATGTATTGTCAAATTGCTTTCCAAAAGCGCCATACCAATTCACACCCCCACTAATTAACAGTAACCCTAACCCAGCAGGGCTTTTTAAAATCTGTGAGCAAAATAACCTTACTATTTTGATTGCTTATGAAGAGATTGAAATTTTTCTATCCTCCTTTGAATGTTTTATTGGAAAAGGGTGTTAAATCTTATTTAAACCTCCACTGCTGCTATCATATTCTTTTCCCCATGTTAACTTACTGGTCACTTAATGCATACACCGAATTTATTGAATAATGCAATACTTTCATTCCTGTGACAAACCTTAATTCTGGAAGATTATTCTTTCCATGACTATCCCAATTCAATCTGGTAGGAAGGCCCTTAAGACTAGTTCCATCTTGTGTATGTGCAAGACTGCCTACTGTGAGTACTGTCTACTTCTGATCAGATTCAGCGGGGCCTCTGGTCCCAGACGGCATAGGGGCCTCTATCAAAGGCTTCCCTTTCAATGTCCTTTTCCTATTTTCAAATGTGGCAATCCATTCTCTCTACGTATAGGCCCCTTGCTGCCCTGTCCCTGCGACCTATCTGGCCCCTTGGCCGCTCTGTGTCCATCCTCTTCCGGGCCAGGTTCCAGGTGGCCGGCAGCCGAGATTCCGAGGCCGTGGGGAACTCAGCCACCCCAGGACAGAAAGGCTGGTGTCCCCGAGGGAAGAACGCAGGGGCCGCTCCTGCGGCCGTCGCCCCTGGGAGAGCCCCTCCTTCTACCTCGACGTTCGTGCCCACCCACTCCGACCCCACTCACCGTGCGCAACTGACAGGCCCGACCTGAGTTAACTCGCTCTGCAGCAGGAGTCTGGCGTACCGGGACTTCAGCTCCTACCGGCACAAGAACAATGACCGGACAGGAAGTGCCTCGGGATGGGCTTCCGGCTCCCCAAGTCGCCAGGCCGGCCTCTCTAGGAATCTCGGAGGTGTTTTCCTCTCGATGGGTGTCCAATGTCGCCCAGGACCAGAGATGAGGCAGAAGCGCTTAGACGGATTGTTCCGGTGGAAGCTCTAAGTGAGCCGCAGGGTGGGGTGCATCCCCAAGCAGGGATGGGACACTCAGGCGAGGCGCGCACCCAAGAGCCTGAAGCTACAAAACATTAATTTGTAGAAAGCCCTGATAATTTCCCCTCAAATGTTTTATTTCGAAAATATCTAAGAATACAAAAAAAGTTGACAGTATGGCACATTGAATACCTGTATTTTCCATCTAGACTCAACAATGAACATTGCTATGTTTGCCTGATCTCTCTATACATACTTAAAATCTTTTTTTTAAGTTGTAAACATCAGAACACTTCATTCCAAATACTTCAACATGCATCCCTTAAGATTAAGAATATTCTTCAAACTACCACCAGCATCACAGGTAAGAAAATTAACAATAATTCCCCAATACCATCGAATAACCAGTCATACTCAGATTTCCCAACTGTCCTAAAACATATATTTTAAAACTTTTTTTCAAATCAATTTCACATACTTCATTTGGGTATGTCTGTTTAGTTTTGGGTTTTTGTTGTCATTGTTGGTTTTTACTTTTTATTTTGAAATGACAGATTCACAGAAGTTGCAAAGATAGCACCCTTCACCCACTTTCCCCTCATGGTTACATCTTACATAATACCAAAAAGAAAATCAACATTGGTAAAATATGTGTGTATACTTTTGCCATTTTTAGCACCTGTAGATTTGTGTAACCACCACTACAATCAAGATACACAAGTGTTCCATCACCACAAAGATCTTTCTGGTGCTACCTCTTTATAGTTATATCCAACCCTCTCCCCATTTTCCCTCCCACCATTCCTAACCTGTGGCAACCATTAATCCATTTTTCATCTCTACAGTTTTAACATATTGAGAATGTTATATGAATGTTTTCATATAGAATATGGCCTTTTGTGATTATTTTCACTCAGCATTAATTCCCTTCAAAATTCGAGTTGTTATGGATATCAGTAAATCAGCCAATTTTATTGTAGAGTGACAAGTGTTTCATAGTGATACATAAACCACAATTTGTGTTAACCATCTAAGGAAGGATATATGGGTTGCCTACAGGTTTTGAGCATTAAAAATAAAGCTGCTATGAACATTCATATACAGGTTTTCGTGTGAACGTTAAGTTTTCATTTCTCTGGGATAAATGCTCAGGAGAGCAATTACTGAGGCATATGACATGTACATGTTTGGTTTTACAAGAAACTACCAAATTATATTCCAGACTGGCTATACCACTTTACATTCCCAGCAATGTATGAGACCCTGTTTCTCTGCATCCTTGCCAACAGTTATCGCCATAAAAAAATTTAGCTATTCGGATAGGAATGTGTTGATATCACATGATTTTACTTTGGATTTCCCTCATTCCTAATGATGTGAACATCTTTTTATTTGCTTATTTGCTATCTATACTTCAGTGAACTGTTTATGCCTTTTGCTTATTTTATAATTGTATTTACTTATTACTGTTATATTTTGAAAGTTCTTTATGTAGTTTACATACCACTCCTTTGTTGGATATGATTTGCAAATATTTTCTCCCAACATGTAATGTCTTTTATTCATGTAAAAAGGTCTTTTGCAGAGTAAATTATCTTAATTTTGATGAGATCCAATTTAACATTTGTTTTTTCCCTTTTAAGGAGCATGCTTTTGCTGTCATCTGAGCCTTCTTAGGTCAGTCCTAGATCCTGAAGTTGTTGGTTTATTGCCTATGGATATCCAATTGCTCCAACAGCATTTGCTGAAAAGGCTATACCTCCTCTATTTAATTGCTTCTGCCCCTGTCAAACATCAATTGGGCATTTGTGTGAGTCCATTTTTGACTCTTAGTATCTAACGGCTTAGTATTATCTTTTAAAAACAAGCCACCTCATCCATATTTTATACCTTTCATATGGAATTTTTCATACATACACGAAAGCAGAGAATGGTATAAACTCACAGTAGACTCACACAGCTTGAACAATTATCACTACCCTCTCGAAGAATCCAGGGCAGCTTTCTTATATAATATCCCACGTTCTGGATTTGTCTGCTGCTCATGGTGTCTTTTATTTGTTCCTCTCTCTCCTGTATTTCCTGTAACCTGGCAATGAGGTCCAAGAAGCTTAATTCAATTCAGGTTGAACATTTTTCAGCTTATTACATCACAGGGGGTGGCACATTATGTGGACTGCCTCAGTGTAAGCAACATTACATTTTGTTACTTAGTGAAGAGGTAGATGATAGCTTTCTCCATTGTTAAAGTACATATGTTTGTTGTAAATATTATACAAGGATGAAGAATTTTCATATTCATTATCTCATGAGAACTTTGTGAGGTAGATATTCTTCCTCCTGTTTAACAGATGAGGAATTCAAGGCTCCAAGAACTGAAGAGATTTTTTTTTCCCAAGGCAAGTGGCAAAACCTGACCCATCCAGGTCTTAGGCCCCTTCCAGTTTTCATTCTTGGCTACCTTTCATTCTTATTTATTTTGAGATGGAGTTTTGCTCTTGTTTCCCAGGTTGGAGTGAATGGCACCATCTCTGCTCACTGCAACCTCTGCCTCCTGGGTTCAAGTGATTCTCCTGCCTCAGCCTCCCGAGTAGGTAGGATTATAGCCACAAGCCACTACACCCAGCTAATTTTGTATTTTTGATATAGACAGGATTTCTCCATGTTGGTCGGGCTACTCTCGAACCTCAGGTGATCCATCCTGATCTCAGGTAATCTGCCCGCCTCAGCCTCCCAAAGCACTGGGATTACAGGAGTGAGCCATCATGCCCAGCCACTACCTTTCATTTTAATGAGGAACCAGCCCCCAAGGAACTGTGGGGTTAAATTAATAACATTTATTATAATAAAAACACCACTTTGACATTATTAAAAAACACAATCTTGGTTTCAGGTATTATTTATAGTCCAGCTGCAGAAACAGAACTTTGAGAATTAGAACATACCAACTCAAGAATATAGACTCAATTAAACCTACAAATGTACTTAAGGGCACAGAATGGTTCACAGGGGTTAATGGGCATTGACTACCCAAAAGTGGATTCTGCATTGGCTTAATCAGTGAAGAGCTTGGCTCCATGTGAAAAGTTTATGTTTCAGTAAATTTAGTGCTGGCACAGAAGCTTGTTTCATGAGTAACAGGCTATCATTTGACAGCAAAGATGAAATGCTGATTAGAATTGACAATGACTGTGGCAGGGATCATCAACTCAGCTGCTGAGTCAAAGACTTTTTTCCCTATGCCAGGGAAAACAGGGCAGCACTGTCCTTCCATTTTGACACTCTACATCTGTTAAATTTCAAATTCAAAAGCTGGAAAATAAATAGTTTTCCTTGGCATCACTGTTAATGGCTGGCCATAACATTTTTTTTCATACACACAAACTAGATATATAATCTATTAACTCCCTTAGATATTTTTAAAGGTAAATTAAGAAAAATTATTCTTACAGCACTAAATTCCAAATGGCTAGTCACCATATATCCTCTGATAAAAATGAGTATCTTTTAGGTTCATGGAACCCCCCTCATTCTAATATTGACTTAATATACAAACTTACATGATACCATGTTCTAAGCCAGGCGTCCCCAAACTTTTTATACAGAGGGCCAGTTCACTGTCCCTCAGACCGTTGGAGGGCTGCCACATACTGTGCTCCTCTCACTGACCACCAATGAAAGAGGTGCCCCTTCCTGAAGTGTGGCGGGGGGCCGGATAAATGGCCTCAGGGGGCTGCATGCGGCCCGCGGGCTGTAGTTTGGGGACGCCTGTTCTAAGCTTTGACTATACCTCTTTTATTCAACTTTATTGACAACTGAATGACTTCAAAAAGTACTTTCACAAAGATCCTTTCCCTTAACCCTCACAGTAACCCTGTGAGGTAGGTATCCTGTCAACATTTGAGTGACAGAGAAACTGAGCTTTAGAGGCTGACTTAGTAACATCACATGGCCATTACAGAAAGCCAGGAATCAAAGCTTGGTTCCGATTCCAAATCCAGTGCTCTTTTTAGGTTGTCCTCAACAGCAGACTCTCGTCCACCCAACTCCACGCCTGACGTCCTGGATCATAGAGTCTGTTCAGGTTTTCTATAGCAGTGATGCTATCTTTAAAATGCATACTGTACATATTTTCAAAAACAATGTCTACTTATTATTGTTATATTAATAAATTTATTTTATTTTAATAGAGATGGGGTCTCCCTATGTTGCCCAGACTTGTCTTGAACTCCTGGGCTCAAGTGATCCTCCCACCTCGGCCTCCCAAAGTGCTGGGACTATAGGCATGAGCCACTGCACCCAACCCATGTCTACTTTTTAATACAATTGTTGCTGTCATTTACAACTATGTTATTAGATTTGGATTATGTTTTTGTAGACTTTAAAGTTCAGATTATTTTTATTCAGATGGTGTTTCACTCTTGTTGCCCAGGCTGGAGTGCAATGGCGCAATCTCAGCTCACCACAACCTCCACCTCCTGGATTCCAGTGATTCTCTGTCTCAGCCTCCTAAGTAGCTGGGATTACAGCATGCCACCATGCCCAGCTAATTTTTGTATTTTTAGTAGAGATGAGGTTTCACCATGTTGGTCAGGCTGGTCTTGAAATTCTGACCTCAGGTGATCTACCTGCCTCGGCTTCCCAAAGTGCTGGGATTACTAATTTTCTTCTACATGCAACTCATTTGCATATTAAACAGTAAGTAATAAACTTTTTCTTTAGAAGAACTATCTATCTTTTGTCCAACAGTTACTTAAGTAGGCAGGGATTCTATTCCATTTTACATATGACACTAGATTTTCTGAATCTCAATCTTGGATTCATTGGTGTTTTGTAGCCAAGAGAATTCCTCAATGGTATGGATTTTCTGTTGAAGATGAAAGTTGGAAGTCTGAGAGAATTCTTCTTCAGACGCATCACATTCACAAGGTTTTTCATCTGTATGGATTTTCTGATGTACACTAAGGTTTTTTCTTTGCCTAAAAACTTTACTACAATCATTACACCCATAGGGTTTCTCCCCTGTGTGAATTCTCTGGTGACCAACTAAATTCCTCTTAGAAGTAAAAGATTTCCTACACTTCTCACACTCATAAGGTTTTTCCCCAGTGTGCATTCTCTGATGTACAACAAGGTTTTTATTCTGACTAAAGTCTTTTCCACACTCATTACATTTATAAGGTTTCTCTCCAGTGTGGATTCTTTGATGTACCATAAGATTTCTACTAGAGGTAAGGACTTTCCTACATATATGACATTCATAGGTTTTTTCTCCACTGTGAATTCTTTGATGTTCAATCAGGTTTCTGTTGTAGGTAAAACCTTTTCCACATTCATTACATGCATAGGGTTTCTCGCCAGTGTGGATCCTCTGATGGGCTATAAGGTTTGAGCGGTAACTGAAGATTTTCCCACAGTCATTGCATTTATAAGATTTTTCCCTCGTGTGAATTCTCTGATGTCCAATGAGGCTTTTCTTCAGAATGAAGCATTTGCCACACTCTTCACACTCATAGGGTTTCTCACCACTGTGGATTCTCTTGTGTTCAATGAGGTTTCTGTTTGAACTGAAAGCTCTTCCACACTCACTACATTCAAAGGGTTTTTCTCCAGTGTGGATTCTCCGATGTACAAGCAGGCTTGAATTGTAACTGAAAGCCTTCCCACAATCCTCACATTTGTAGGCTTTCTCTTGTGTATGGAGTTTCTGATGGACCATAAAACTTTTGCTCATAATAAAGGTTTTCCCACACTCTCTGCATTCATATGGCTTCTCCCCATTGTGGAGTCTCTCATGGTCAATGAGGTTTCTGTTCGAACCAAAGACCTTGCCACAGTCTTTACATTCATAGAGATTCTCTCCAGTGTGGAACCTTTGATGTAAAATGAGGCTCTTCTTCAGAATAAAAACTTTCCCACATTCATTACATTCATAGGGCTTCTCCCCATTGTGGAGTCTCTGGTGGTCAAAAAGGTAAGCACTCTGAGTGAAGGCTTTCCCACATTCAGTGCATTTATAAGGTTTCTCTCTGCTATGCATCCTCTTATGGTCAATGAAGTTTGACTTAGAACTGAAAATCTTCCCACACTTCTTACAACCAAACGTTTTCTTTTCTGTGTGGACTCTCTGATGTAATAGGAGGCTTTTACTTCTAATGAAAACTTTTCCACATTCTTTACACTTGTAAGGGTTCTCTGCACTGTGGAGTCGCTGATGGTCAATAAGGTAAGTGGTCTGAGCAAATGTCTTTCCACATTCATCACATTTATAGGGTTTTTCCCCAGAATGAATTCTCTGGTGCAGAATGAGGCTCTTCTTCAGAATGAAAGCTTTCTGACACTTATTACACTTATAAGGTTCTTCCCCTTTGTGGAGCCTCTGATGGTCAATGAGGTAAGCATTCTGAGAGAAAACTTTCCCACATTCATTACACTTATAGGGTCTCTCCCCTGAATGGCGCCTTAGATGTATAATTAGGCCCGAGTGCCTATAGAAACCCTTTCCACACTCCTTACACTTATAAGGTTTCTCCCCAGTGTGGATCCTCTGATGGTTTAGAAGGTAAGCACTTTGAGAAAATGCTTTCCCACATTCATTACATTTATAAGGTTTCTCCCCTGAATGGTTCCGTAAATGCATTAGAAGGCTTGAACGCTGAATAAAGCCTTTTCCACATTCCTTACATTTATGAGGTTTCTCACCAGTGTGGATTCTCCTATGGTTTATAAGATGGGAGATTTTATTAAAATGTTTACAACATATATCACATTTATAAAACTTCTTTCCTTCAGTACCTACTAAACTTTCAGAAATAGCTAAGCCGAAAGTCAAGCTTTCTCCAAATTCCTTCCACTTTTGGCCTTGCTTCTCTGGTGGAGTCCTTTTCTTCTTGTCTCGTTCACAAAGAGAAACTTTCTTCACTCTATCTGCCCTTTCCTTTGTTTCATTTTCCCACTGGCTTGCCAAAACTTGCCATTCACACTCTTCTTCAAAATCAAGAACCTGGGGAACACTTCCTTGAAGTCTTTTTGATGTTCCTTTCTGAGAGTCTGCTCTTTGAGAACTACTTGGCTTTGATGTCACCTCCTCATTCTCGGTCATGGTCTCCCATTCTGGTAAAAGGAATTAAAAATGCAAATGTTACCACATCCCTGTGTTTGGGAGAACAGGATCTTCAAATGACTTCAAAACATTCTAGGAAGGCACACTTTATATGCATACAAAAAGGAGAAACATTTCATTAAATGAAGGTACAAGGAAGAAAGCTACATGGACAAGATGTTGTAAATGGATTAACATACAACTCACTTTGGGACATTTTTAAGTGCTTGTCTTCAGGAAGCAGATGGAAAAATATAACTACAAATAATGCTGAGAAAACAGAAGCAAGGAAGAACCAGAGAGAAAACACAGGATCTTATGTAGGTCATTCATATCTAAGGAAGTTGGATAGAATAGCAAGAACCATTTGGATTAGAAGTAACTTTCTTTTTTATTTTATTCATGTTAGAAAGATGAAAAATTTAAGGGAAGGAAAGTATATGTAGGACTCTGAAAGGTAATTTTTAATTTTTGAAAGTCAAAGACATGAATACTTTTTAACTGGTTGAAAGCAATTAACCAACTGAAAAGAAATCCATTGAAAAGCAACTTAATTCTTAGAATTCATATATAACATCCTACTCCATTTAAAGTTAAGAAATGGAAATTTTAAAATTCATTAAAAAAAATCAGGTCTGTTATGAACTCCCTTAATTACACATAAAAGGTAAGAGAAGAAATACCGAAGGAAAAGGGAAAACACACAGAATAAAAGTATGAAAACTTCCGTAAAATGGTGAGGCTGAACTAATCTCCAAGGTTCCTTTCTACTCCAATGTTCTCAAATATTTTAAAAATATGAAATAATTTTTATGAAAATGTTTTGGAAGTTTACTGTCAAACTACCCAAGTGTGAGATAAATTATGAGCCAGTTCCCCCAAACTGTCTAATAAGTAAAGTTATGTGAATAACAGTAACATCATCTTCTATTTGAATATAACAATACTTTTCTTCTATCTAAATAGAAGACAAGAGTGCAGCCATTTTATTTCATTATAAATTTCTTTAAGTTTATGAAAGGTTGAGGATGGCAAAGATCCAATAAATATTAACTTGAACTACAGACATTCTTAGTCAGGCCCTCATATCTCATCTCAACTGCCCTTCTCTCTAGGACTCAGGCAGGACTGCCAATCACAGTACCCAACTACCTGGCTGCAGGGATGGGTATGTGTCTTAGGCCTATCCAATGCTGATACTTCACTTTCCTTATTCACAGTGAGGTTTCAAAGACAAGGAGAGGCCAAGGATGGTGGCTTATGCCTGTAATCCCGGCACTCTGGGAGGCCGAGGCAGGTGGATCACTTGAGGTCAGGAGTTTGAGACCAGCCTGACCAACATGGTGAAACCCTGTCTCTACTAAAAATGCAAAAATTAGCTGGATGTGGTGGTGCATACCTGTAATCCCAGCTACTCAGGAGGCTGAGGCAGGAGAATCACTTGAACCTGGGAGGTGGAGGTTGCAGTGAGCCGAGATCACACCACTGCATTCCAGCTTGGGTGACAGAGCAAGACTCCATCTCAACAAAACAAAACAAAACAAAACACAAAGATGAGGAGAATGCTAGTGGAGAGGAGGGCTGCTTCTATGTAATGAAGCAAGCTTTAAGGAAATGAACTGTTATAAGTGGTTAAACTGAGATGGAAAATGGTTAAGAAATTAGCAACTCTTGTTATCAGTAGCTAATTAGCTGGTTAAACTATTTGATATTTTAGTTTAGGAATCAGACTATTATGAGCCTATGATCTTTTTAAGACTTGGTAGAAAAATGTCAGAATGATGGAAGGAGCTTGTTACTTTCCATAATCTGTGGTGAATGAAGCCTGCAAGGAACAGACAGGCTTTCCTGCCTCTAACACTCCTCGCTTTCATCTGCTCCAATCCATGTGTACCTTTATTATCAACGACCTTTCCAATTGGTAAATTTGATCATGTCACTCACTTGCTCAAAACATCTAACTCTTCATTGCCTACAGGACAAAGCATAAAGCAGAGTCAAAGGGATATCTTCACACACCGCCTGTTTTTCTGGTATCAACTATTGTCAGTATCTCTTATGCCCCTAGACTCTAGCCACAGTGTACTACATGGAGCTGCCCAAACATGTCATTTCTTGCCTATCACTGCCCATGTCCTTTCCTCTTCCTGAATTGCTCTTCCTCTTTCCAACTCACCACCCAAGCCCAGACCTACATCCTTTAAAACTAAGCTCTAAAGTCGTCACTCTCTGAACATTAACACTAATTTAAAAAAAATAAAAAGGGGTCAGAGTGAGAACTTCTATCCTTGTCTTACCTGCTCTCGAAAAAATAAAAAAAATAAAAAAATAAAAATGAGTATAAATAATACTATGAATGGTATGGTGTCAATAAATTAAGGCAACTTATATGAAATAGGCAAATTCCTAAAAAGCCACAAACTGCTAAAACTGACTCAAGAAAACATGGAAAATCTGAGTAGGTCTACAACAGGGGAAAAAAAATTGAATCAGTAATTAAAAAAAAAATTACCCTCCCACACACAAAAAGCCCAAACTCAGGTTGCTTCACTGGAGAATTCTACCAAACCTTAAAAGAATACCAGTTCTTCACAAATTCTTCCAATAAATGGAAACATTTCCCAATTAATTCTATGAAGCCAGTATTGCCCTGATAGCAAAACCAGACAAAACCATCACAAAAAAGAAAACTATAGACTAATACAGCATATGAATACAAACATACAAATCCTCAACAAAATGCTAACTAAAGCTAGCAACACATAAAAAGAATTATACATCATGACCAAGTGAGATTTATCACAGGAAAATAATGTTGGTATAACACTAGGAAAACAATTATTGTAATACACCATATCAACAAAATGAAGAACAAAAACCACATCATCAAGACACTAGATAAAAACACTCCACAGTGATAAAAACACTCAACAAAGTAGAAATAGAAGGGGATTTCTGGCCAGGCACAGTGTCTCATGCTTTGGCAAGCCAAGGTAGGTAGATTTGAGACTAGGAGTTTGAGGCCAGGAGTTTGAGACCACCTTGGGGAACATGGTGAGACACTGACTCTACAGAAAAAATAAAATAAAAATAAAAACAAATAATTATTTGGGAATGTTGGTGTGTGCCTGTGGTCCTAGATATGTGGGAGGCTGAGGTAAGAGGATATACAAGGATTACTTCAGCCCAGGAAGTTGAGGATGTAGTGAGCCATGATCATGCTTCTGCACTCTACCCTGAGTGACAGAGTAAGATCCTGTTCAAAAAAATTAAAATAAATTATATTTCATGGTGAAAGATTAAATGTGTTCTCTCTAAGAACAAGAACAAAAAAAGGCTGTCTGCTCTTGCCACTTCTAGTCAACATGTACTGGAGGTTCTAGCCAGAGCAATTAGGCAAGAGAAATAAATAAAAGGCATCCAGATGGAAAGGAAGAAGTAAAATTATCTCTATTTGCAGATGAGAAAATCTTGCATATAAACAATCCTTAGAAATCACTAAAAAACTATTGGAACTAATAAGTACAGCGAGATTGCAGGATACAAGCTCAAGATACAAAAATCAGCCTGAGATGGTGGCACACACCTGTAGTCCCAGCTACTCAGTAGGCTGAGGCAGAGGACTGCTTGAACCAAGGAGCTCAAGGTCAGCCTGAGAAACATATAAACTCCCATCTCATAAAAAAATCAGTGATATTTCTATTCATTAGCACTAAGTAATCCACAAAGGAAATTAAGAAAACATTTATAATAGTTTCAGAAACAGTAAGATTAGGATAAATTTAACAAAAGAAGAACTTCTATTCTGAAAACTATAAAATATTATTGAAAGAAACTCAGGGCCTAAATAAATGGAAAGATACCTCAGGTTCAAAGATTAAAAGACCTAACATTGGTAAATGGCAATACTACTCAAATTGATCTACAGATTCATTGCAATATCTATAAAAATCTCAACTGGCTTCTTCAAAGATATTGACAGGCTGATATTAAAATTAAGATGGAAAGTCAAGAGACCTAGAGTAGCTAAAACAGTCTTGAAAAAGAACATAGTTAGAGGACTCACACCTTTTTATTTCAAAATGTACTATGAAGCCAAAATAGTAAGAGAGGATGATACTGACATAAGGATAGACATATAGATCAAAGGACTAGAACTAAGACTTTAGAAATAAACCCTCATATTTATGATCAACTGCTTTTTTAAAAGGGTGCCAAAACAATGCAATGGAGAAAGCAGTCTTTTAAACAAATGGTGCTTGGGATAAACGGTGCCACATGCAGAAGAATGAACATGGATCCTTACCTACTACTATATACAAAAATTAACTCAAAATGGATAAAAGACCTAAATGTAAGAGCTAAAACTTAAAAGAAAACAGACATAAATCTTCCTGGCCTTGGATTAGTGATAGTTTCTTATTATATGACACCAAAAGCAGAAGCAACAAAAGAAAAAAAAAACTGGAACTCATAAAAATTAATGACTTTTGTCCTTCAAAGGAAACCATCAAGAAAAGGAAAAGTCACCAGGCCAAGTGGCTCAAGCCTGTAATGCCAGCACTTGGGGAGGCTGAAGCAGGAAGATTGTTTGAGGCTAGGAGTTCAAGACCAGCTAGAGCAACACAGTGAGACTCTGTCTCTACAAAAAATTTAAAATTAGCCAGGCTGCTGGGGTGCACCTGTAATGCCAGCTACCCAGGAGGCTAAGGTGACAGGATTGCTTGGGCCCACGAGTTCAAGGCTGCAGTAAGCTATGATCGAACCACTACACTCCAGCCTGGACAACAGGGCAAGACCCCACAGAATGGAAGAAAATATTTGTAAATCATGTATTTGTTAAAGAACTTATATCTAGACTATATAAAGAATTCTTACAACTTAGTAATAAAATGACAAATAACCTAGTTAAAATATAGACAAAGAATCCAAATAGACAGTTTTCTCCAGAGATATATATACAGTCAGTAATAACATAAAAAGTTGCTCAGCATCATTAACCATCAGGGCAATGTACATTGAAACCACAGTGAGATATCATTTCAGACCCATTAGGATAGTTAAAATAAAAAGACAGGTAATAACAAGTGATAGGGATGATGTAGAAAAACTGGAACCTTTATATAATGCTGGTAGAAGTGTAAAACTGTGCAGCTGCTTTGGAAAACAGTCTGACAGTTTCTCAAATGACTAAAGACAGAGTTATCATAAGACCCAGCAATTCTACTCCTAGGTGTATACCCAAGAGAAAGGAAAACATATATCCACACAAAAATTGTACACAAATGTTCATAACAGCATTATTCATAATGGACCAAAAGTGGAAGTACCTAAGCATTCATCAGCTGATAAATGGAGATATATCCGTTCAATGGAATATTATTTGGCATTAAAAAGAAATAAAGAACTGATACCTGATACAACATGGATACGGCTTAAAAACACTACGTTAACTAAAAGAAACCAGTCACAAATGACCACATATTGCACAATTCCATTTATATGAAATGTTTCAAATACACAAATCTATAGAGGTAGACAGATTGGTGCCTGCTAGGGCTGGGTTGGAGGAACGAGTTATGTGAAATAAGGGTGGACTGCTGAAGGGTGCAAGGTTTCTTTTGGGGGTGATGAAAATGTTTTAAAATTGATTGCGGTGATGGTTGCACAACTTGGTGAATATACAACAAGCACTGAACTGTACATTGTAAATGGTGAATTTTATGGTATGTTAAATATACCTCAATAAAACTGTTATAAATCTTTCCCCCCTGGTGGAAGAACTGGGAACAATCCGCCTCCTCCTCCCACTGTCCCAATCCTTTCATCATTCCCAGGTTCCTATGGGCTCACATAACCTTATACATACTTTTATTATACAGCATGTGCCAAATTATATTGTAATTATAAGTGGAAATGTCTATCTCTCCAATTTGAATGTACTTTAAGGCAGGAGCTAAGCCTAACATGGAAGGTACTCAATATTTCTTAATACTTTCCTTCAAATTCTAGTCCAACCTCCTAAATAAACATACACAAATATTTTACATACTGAAGTAGTATGTTCAAGTTATCTGAGAGTCTGCTTTTCTATCACAGTTTATCAATGTATGAAAATTGAGTACCCAGAGTTATCATAATATTTGATAGTGTCATAATATATTATTAGGTCAAAACACCATTCTCTGCTTAGTACTTGATCTTAGGGAATTTGTTTTGCCTAACTTTTAACCATGATAGTTACCTGGTACTATTTTTAGACATATGACTTATATTCCCTCTTTCTGAACCTCAAATCAGAGGTTCTTTAATATATCCCCCTCAAACCTGAGTTACTAAGTCAATGAGAATAAACATTAGGCACCTGTTTGCCCAAAGCCCCAACAACATTGGAGGGAGATTTTTTTTTAACGTATTAAAGTTGGTTCAAGTTTCTCTTTCTTCAAAGAGCTAGAATAATCAAGCAATTACATTATTTTTTTAAAATGTAACTCTTAGACCTATCTGGAATTTATTTTAGTGTACAGCATGAGGTATGGGTCCATGGTGAGTGTTTTTAATAAAATTAGCCAATTAATCCATAAAGTCTATTTTAAAATTTTTCAAAAAGATTGATTATTGAGTAAATAGCTTTGGAACTACTGAAAGAAAGCCACTTGGGTTAAAAAAAAAAAGCTGGATGGTAGTGCATGCTTATAGTCATAGCGACTTGGGAAGCTGGGGTAGAATGTTTGCTTGAGGCCAGGAGTTTGAGGCCAGCCTGGGCAACGTGGTGAGACTGCCATCTCAGAAACAGCAAAACCCCTCTACAGGATGTCTATGTCATTCTACATATCAAGATAAATTGATAAATATCAAGATGGATTAAAGCTTAAATATCAAAATAAAATAATAAAAGTATCTTAAGAAAATACAGGTGGGTTTAAAAAATAATTTTATGAGGAAAAAGACCACTAAGACCATAAAGGAAAATTTTGCTAAGTTTAACAACATAAAATATTTTCTAAGGCTTAAAAGAATTAATAAATAATATTGAAAGGCAAACAAATGGGAAAAACATATGCAACAATTGACAACGCATTAGCAGTTCTATATACACAGGAAGTATAAGAATAGCAGTAAAACGACCAGTAAACATATGAAGAGATTTCAATCACAGCAATAATGAAAACATGAAAAATAAACAAACAAAAGATGGTATTCTTCACCTACCTAGCAAAGATTTAATTAAAACACTAACCAAATCATGATCCAGGGGAAATTGGCTCTTCTGTGTGCTCTTTCTGTGGGAGTTTAATTCAGGTATCACTGGTAGAAAGCAGTTTGGTAGTATGTATCAAAGTATAAAATCTACAGACTGTTTGACCCACCACTGCCACTGCTGAGATACTAAAGGATACAGTCTCAAAATATGAAAATATACAGTATAAATTACTAAAGACAGTAAAATAATAAAGTTGCTGGGTACAAAATTAACATATTAAAAAACAGTACTTTCATATATGTAAATGACAGTCAATTAGAAATCAGAAAAGACTGTAATTTCAAAGAATAAATATTACCAGAAATACGCAAGATCTAGGCGATTTTAAAACATGCCTAATACATACAAAGGCAGTACAGAAAAAAATGGAATGTTATGTAATGTTCTTGAATAGAAACATTCAGAATCATAAAGCTGTCATTGTAAAGCATGAATACTCTGCATGGAACATGGAATACTCTGCAGCCATTTAAACTGATACTGTCAATCTGTATTTCAGTCAAAATTAGTTCCTGTGGCTGATTATCCATTTCTGAATGTTGATTTCTTCAAACAGAATTCTATGCTTTTCTTCAAGTTCCAGTATAAATGCTACCTCCTTTATGGCCTTTCCTAATCCCCAGGAATGGAATTGATTGCTCTGTTTTCTGCATTTCCATCACACCAGGTTTATGCCACTCTTGTACCAATTATTTTACTCTGCCTTGTACATTTAATATTTCTATAATCATCTCCTGAACCATCATAAGATATTTAAGGGCAAAAATCACATCATTTTCACAGCTATACCACTATAGGTATTTGATGTTTGGTGGAAGCAAATATGGCTAATAAAAAATTTTGAAATATTCTTTTATTACTTATCAAAGAAATCTACTTTAGAATAGATATTGTAACTTTAAAAATATATTAGCAACAATTTAGAATTGTGAGATTCCTCAGTACAAATGAAAGCAGAGCAAAAGGAGTGTTCTTATACACCAATGATAAGAACAGAGAGGACAGGGATCACTATGGAAAGTAATTTGGCAATATGAAGCCAGAGCCTTAAAGCCATTCAAACGCTTATGCCCAGTAATTGTACTTCTAAAAATAATAAGACATTTTAGAAGACCTTAGGCACAGAGATAGATAATTATCACAGCAATTATCCAAAATAAGGAAATGGCTAACTGAATTATGGTACAAATCATATAGCCAATATAGAGAATAACTGCAAAGAGTTTGTAACATTCGAGAACACACACAAGGAAAGCAACCTATAAAACCGTATACAGATACACACACAAACACATACATTTGAACAATGTAAAAAATCTTTCAAACATATAGAAAAACCAGAAAGGTAATATATCAAAATGATGATAGTTGTCTGGACATAGCAATATTAAAGAAGGTTTTTTTTCTTCTTTGTAATATTCAGTATTTTCCAAAATAAGTATATGCTACCTTTATAATCAGAAAACAAATAAAGGCTGATGAAGTAAAGGTAAGCATCATAGAAAGAAGAGTCCTTACCTAGGGAGGTCACATTTCCATAATTCTCCAGCATCACATCCCAGTACAAGGCCCTCTGGATTGGGCCAAGGCATGCCCATTCCTCTGAAGTGAAGCATACTGATACCTCCTCAAACATCACCAACTCCTGAAATAACAGGTGTGTGTGAGATTACCAATGCCCAGGAGCTTGCCTGTTGAAAGGTTCCCTTCGCTTCTGGGGAAGGGATATACTATGAGACCAGGAGTGCACAACAGACATCAGGGAAACATAAGGAGATCACATATAAAGTCTATCTTTCGACAGCATAGACCTTGATTTAGAAATGGGAACTGACTGGACATTGAAGTACAAGGATGAGAGAGGGCACTTCAGTCATAGTGAGGTTGTGCAGATGGGAAGGGAAGAAGATGTTAACCTTACCTGGGGTTGGGCTGTTAGGAGCATAAGTGCCATTAATTGATTTCTTGGGTTCTCTTCCTGAGAAAGGGCAGAAGCTTCAGGGGCAGGACTATCTGAGGAAGGAGAAAAAGCTGCATGTGGGACCTACAAATTCTGAGCGACCCCCACTTGCAGAGCTGGAATAACACAAAGATAGCAATAAAAATGGATACAAGGTCAGAGGGGCCCAAGAAAGAAGGTGGGAACAGCAGAAACAGCAGAAAGGAACTGGCACCGTAAGAGATTCCTAGACAGGGTAGCAGAAGAAGCAACTCCCTGGAAGTAGGGGTTGAGCCACAGAAAGGGTCCTGGAACAGCCCAAAGCCCAGAGCACTGAGTAAATACCATTTTGAGGATCCTGGAAGTTGAATGCCACTGGATCAGTAGGATGCAGGCAAATTTCAGCTGCTATGTGGCTGCCAGGAAGTACAGGAGAAAGTGTTCCTGGAGTGCTCACTGCCTTCTGGAGAGGGCTCTGATCCTGGACAAGGACTGGAACCTGGAAATCGGTAAAACAAAATAAGCTGGCTCTTCTTGTTCCTCCAGAAAGTGGACTCACCTAAGCACTGTGGACCTCTTTCTGCCCACAATCTAGAACTGTGAGATCAGAGAGACCCACCTCAAGTATGGAGCTATCAAAACAGCAGTAAAACTTTGCACTGAGAACAATGGAGCTGCCCTCAAGCCCCACTCATGGCACTGGTGACCTCTCCCAGAGGAGACTGTACAACAGAATGGTAGGAACAGAAGCCAGACCTGGGTGTGGGTTAAGGAGGGAATGGGAAGTAATAAGGAGTAATTAAGAGCATGGATTTTAGCTTCAGACTTAGTTTTAGAACGGACTTCAGTCACATCTCTTCTACTTATTTACCATCTAAGTACTGACTTCTTTACCTAGTCCTCTGTGCTCAAATACAACTAACACTAAAATCCGCACCAAGACACGGTTTTGCGGCCAGCTAGATGCCTGCCTCAGTTTCCTTATATTGCAAACGAGGATGTATTAATTTGTAATGAAATATATAGCTCTAAAATTTTTCACTTTATGATTAAAAGAACAAGCCCATCCTTAATGCCACACCCAAATTTGAGTTATGATTCAGACGTCTTATACAGAAATGTTTCTAGTGAGCTATAGATGTACAAAAGAAATATCACACGATAGGCTACATAAAGATCCCAATCTAATGATCAAGGATATAAATCTTATCAGAAGCAAATATCTTAACCCAATCCCTTGGCTTGCAGAATCCCCAGGAGGGCACACAAGAGGAGGTCTTACCTGGAAAGTTTCATTCTTGTTATGCTACTGCCATTCTATTTATTTATTTATTTAAAGACAGGATCTTATTCTGTCACCCAGGCTGGAGTGCAATGGTGTGATCATAGCTCACTGCTGCCTCAACTTCCTGGGCTCAAGTGAACCTCCCACCTCAGCCTTCTAAGTAGTTGGGACAACAGGTACTCACCACTACACCTGGCTAAATTTTAAATCTTTTGCAGAGAAGAGGTTTTCCCATGTTGTGCAGGCTGGTCTTGAACTTGTGGCCTCAAGTGATCCTCCCACCTCAGCCTCCCAAAGTGTTGGGATTACAGGCATGAGCCACTGTGCCTGGCCTTTTATACTCTATGCTTACATCACCATTCCAAACAGAATTATAGAGACAACACACATGCTTCTGTTTAGGAAAAAAACTTAGCAACATTTATTCCTTAGGTTCTTGATCCAAACTCAGCATTAGCAAGCATTACACAGGTGACAAAACAGTCAATGTTTTTGTGCTGCTTCTAAGTTGGAACCAAAGACCTCAACATAAATCCATTTCTCTACAGACACATTCTATGGTCTGAATACTCATGAATCTGCTTTAATTATTGTTAGGGTTGCTAGTGTGCTATTAATTTTTAACGAAAATCACACCCTCTAGCCCAGCCTCAATTCTTTCCTTCCCTTCATCCCAATACCCACCTCCCCTCCCCACCTTTCTCACTTTTATTGCTGGTCCATCAAGGTCTTTCTGTAGCTCCTCTACCAGGGCCACAGCCTCCTCGCCACTCCCAGGGCGATGGAGCTGCACCCAGGTCCGAATCTCCCCAGGCAGGATGCTCAGAAACTGCTCCAGCACCAGCAGCTCCAGGATCTGTGCCTTGGTACGTGCTTCTGGTCTCAGCCACCGGCGACAGAGTTCTCTGAGCCGGCTCAGAGCCTCCTGGGGTCCAGATGTCTCATGGTAACGTAACTGTCTAAAGTGCAGGTGGGAGGTCTCCCAAACAGAGAAGCTGCTTCCCTGGAAGCTGGTTCCCCATTTCCAAGTATCATCCTTCCCTTTCACAAGGCCCTCTTGTCTCAAAGCATTGTGGGCCCAATTTTCTCTTGTCATTGTTGTTTTAGAAAAAGGCTCCTCTCCAGTCCAGGTCTCCTTAATCCTTGACTTCTTCCTTAGAGTTTGGAGAGTATCATCTACAAGACCTCAAGAAATCATTGTTAAAGTTAGCCCAGAGAAAGAGCTGAGCTTTCCAGGCCCCAGTCAGTTCCCAGTAATAAAGAGAACGTTTGTGAGTGCAAGGTTCCAGACTCTAGAGAGTGTTTCCTCTGACACCTCCCACTTAAGGCTCTGGGACGCAGACACTCATGTTACCCAGACTGCTGAAACCAAACACATGAACTTCCTTTGGTCTTTATTCATAGGATCTCTTCATCTAATTACAATAGACTCTCTACCACTCTAACAATGAGCATCCTGGCTGCTCCTGTATAACCTGGAATGAGTCCTTCACTTCTGAGCCTTAGTTTTTAACCTGTAAAATAGGGATAGTAACAATTACTAACTCATGGGGTTGTTATGAGAATCTGATGTCTAAATATATTTCGCGTTTTTGGACAGTGCCTGGTATATGGGTTTAAATGTTACTTATTACCCTTTGTAACTAGCACTCATTCCTATGTTCCACAGAGTTAACAAGTAATCATAGTCTTAATCATGACACATGAGATAAAATCCTATCCACCTCGATTAACAAAGAAAGGCTGTATTAAGTTCTGTGTAATTTTGCTCTACTTGTTTTTAATTCTCTGAAAATTGTTCATTCTGTTAATCAAAATATTTGGATAAATTTGCCTCTTGCTCTTATCTTTTCACACCTAGTCCCACAGGTGGATAAATCTGAGTAAGATTTTATTATACAGAACTTAGACCTGCTCTCTAGAAATCATCTACTCTTTAGAAACAACATGTATGTTTCTAATTATAAAACCAAAAATTTATAAAACCAGAAAACAATCACTGCTATTATTCGGAACTATGTCATTCTAGCCCTTTTTCTATGCACCAGTGTGGGTTAAAGATTGGATCCAAGTGTATTGCTCTGTAGCTTTTCTCACATATTATGTTGTGAACATATTAAATATTCTTCATTATTTTTAAGAGCTGTATGAGTCCACCTATACTTAATAGCCCCCTGTTGCTGGACATTTTATAGATATAATCTACAAATTACAGATTATAATAATTTCTATCTTCTATAATAGATTATTTCTAACTAATTATCACAGATTAATTCTGACTTTCCCCTATTATAAAAAAGGTCACAATGGCTATCCTTGCTAACAAATTTTTAGTTACATCTCTGCTTATTTCTTCAGGATAAATTCCTAGAATTGTTGGGCTGAGGAATACAAATATTTTTAAGCTTTTAAGGTTATAACAGTTATATCAGCATCAGTGACATACGAAAGCATCCTCATTATTTGAACACATAGACCCTTAAAGAGAGCTTGCTTATAACAACTGGGGGCAGGGGGTGCAGAAATATAAATAGAATTTCAATATAATGTGTAAGTATAAGTAATAGGAGAACATAAAACTACAGAAAGGATTAATGAAGGGTAATTTTTTATTTTTGAGATGGAGTCTCCCTCTGTCACCCAGGTGGGAGTGCAGTGGCATGATCTCAGCTCACTGCAACCTCTGCATCATGGGTTCAAGTTCTCCTGTCTCAGCCTCCTGGGTAGCTGGGACTACAGGCTTGTGCCACCATGCCCAGCTAATTTTTATATTTTTGGTAGAGAAGGGGTTTCACCATATTGCCTAGGCTGGTCTTGAACTCCTGACCTCAAGTGATCTGTCCACCTTGGTCTCCCAAAGTGCTGGGATTACAGACATGAGCTACCACACTTGGCCATGAAAGGTACCTTTAGATTGGACTTTTAAGGAAAAATAAAAGGATCACGGGACTATGAGGAAAGCCATTCCAGGAAGAAAGAAACTATTTTCAAAAGCAAGGGAGTGACACATAACTTTGTGAAGGAAAACCAGAGAATGAAAGCAAACTTTGGAGGCAAGATTGTAGGAGTACAGCAGAGAGGTAAACATAAGTTAAATTCTAAAGGCTCTTGAGAGGCAGTATTCTGAGGAGGTCATCGTGTCCTATAAGTGAAGCAGTTTTACTTCCATTTAAGCATTAAAGAGGTTTTACTTTACATTTTTTCTTATTTTTAAAAATAGGTAATATACTCACTTGCTCAAAATTTAAGATTATAAAATGCATACTGTGTAAAGTTTCCTTCTCCCTGTTAGCTTCTTATGTATCTTTCCAGTTATTTATGCATATGTGTGTACACATTTATTGTTTTCTATTTCCCTTTTTTCACAGATGGTGGTACACCATTAATGTGCTACATTTTCCTCTTCTCAATTAATAACATGTCTTAGAGGTCTTTCCTGTCAATACACAGCCCCTCTCCCCATTTTTATGGATGCATAGATGTATCATAATTATTCATGCCAGCACAGATGGAACGTTTGGTAGTTTTCAATCATTTCTTATTACCAACAACATTATCATGAATAATCTTGTGCATACATCAGTTTGGATGTGTGTAGTCACATATAAGAAAAGTTCTTTGAAACAGAATTGCTGAGTCAAAAGGTATGCATGTATAATTTTGGTATTTCCAATTTGACCTCATTAGGACTGTACCAGTTTATCATTTATGCCCCCATCAGAAACAGCTGTATGGGAGTGGCTTTCCTCACTCTCACCAATACAGTTGTTAAAGTTTGTGCTCTTTGCCAAATTTTTAACTTGCATTTTGAGTGAACTACTATATTGAGAGTCATTTGTATATTTTTTCAAGTAACTATTCATATATTTTGCCCGTGTTTCTATTAAGGTGTTGGGTCTTGTTAATTTGTACACACGTTTATCGCATAGGAAAATTAGTCTTTTGTTTACAATGGCAGGTGCCAATTTTTCCCAGTTTGTCAAGTGTCTTTGGGACCATATTATGTACCATGTGACTTTGCTTAAAGTGTTTTTTGCCATGCAGTCTTTTATAACTTCTGGCTATTATACCATAATTAGAAAGATCTTTTCCACTATGAGCATGAAGAGACTCTTAAGTGGTGTCATGACTCTATTAGTGGGGAATGGTCGGGGTAGGAGGACTGAATAACAAGAAAGGCCAGTTAGATTTTTGTAATAGTCTCAACACATGTCTAAGTTCTAAACGAAGTAGGAACTTACTTATCCCCTAGTAGGGATAAGGCAATTGAGAAAAACTTGGCAGTCCTTGGTAACTGATCTGGGGGTGATGGAAAGGAATTTTTAAAAAGAATTTTGAATCATTTTCTACAGCTAATGATCAGAACTCTATTTACACTTATTTTGCAGATAAAAATAACATAAAAATAACAAGTTATTAAATATACATTTTATTTGCTTCTCACAAAAGGTTTCAAGGCAGAAGTTAAAAAGAACAAAGGGATCAGAGGAACTAATCCACTCAAGGGCACTTAGCTAGTTGAGATGTGGGAACAAATTCTGATTTCAGGGATTTTAATTCCAAAAGTCCAAAACAATTCCATCTACGAAGAAACTTATGAAACCCAAACAACTGTTCTAAAACAACGATTTCCAAACACCAGTCCACGATAAAGCTTTAATCTGGCAAGCTGCAAAAAGAGAAAACCAGTAACAATCGTCACTGACAGGTTGCCAATGACGTGGGCAACATTTATTCTGAGTTTACGGTCTTAGCACTTTGTGTTAAAAGGCACTCCTGAAGTAAGGGTGGCATGGGTGGTTTCAAGTTTGATTTTTAAATACCATCATATTACAAAACTAAAAGATGACAATTGTTCCGTTCCTTAAAAAAAAAATCCGTCCTCAGGAGTCTGGGCGCCACCGGCATAGGGAAGCCTCAGAATGTTTCTGTGCATCAGCCTCAGGGGAGACTGAGGAAGAGCAGAAAGGCCTGAGCTGGAGGAGCAGGCTACTGAGGCAGCTATCCTCAAAGGGCCAGCGGGGTCCGTTAGACTGGAGCACCAGTCCGGACACGCACAGACTCGGAGCTGCTTCCTCCGTACCTTCCCCTGGCCGGCTGCCTGCCCCGCCCAGGCCAAGACATCAACCCCGAACACGGAGTTGGGGACGGACCGTGCGGGGTGGGGGGGTCAGGGCCCGGGAGGGACCACCGACGGCTGTGCAGTCCCAGCAAACTCAGGCCCGCGTCCCAGGCCGCCTTACTTGCATGCCCGCCCGCCCCCAAGCCCACCCCGCTCACCGGGGGCTCCCGCTGCGGCTCCAGCCTTGGGTACCACCGCCTCGGCGCCAGGCCGCTAGGAGATGACACTGGAACGGACCCTTGAAGCAGCCGAGGCACAGAATAACGGCCGAGCCGTGGATACTGCGACTTCCTGTTGCTCCCTGCCCTTCATCCGGGATCTCTAGGAAGACACATCTCTATGGTTCGTTTCTTTTCCTAGCGCGCGAGGTTAGAGGAGGAACGCGAGCCCTTGGAATAAGCCCTCCTTCCTTACATCAAGTAAGAACCGGTTGCTGTGTTTCGGACTGGAAGGGCGCAGAGATGAAAGACAGGACCGAGGGTCTCAGGATGCTTGTTGCCTCCAAAGAAATTTGGACATTTCTGTTTTAATTTGCATTTCAATTGAGTTTGACAGGGAGTAACCTCTCATCTGAATGACCTGGTAGGTGACTTTTCTGGTCTCTTCGTGAACCTATGCAGTTCCCACTATAAATAACATGGATTATAAATCATCCTTTTGTGAATTCGCTTACTGTGGTGTATCTCTTGCTCACATGATCACATACTGGAGCTATGATATTAAATAGTAATCAAGTTGAAGGTGCAAAGTCATGTGCAAATGGTGGGGATATCTCTACCCTGAAAGAGGTTATTCCAGCTGTCCATCACGCTGGGTAAAGTTAGATGTATATAAAGGAAATTGGAATTCTGATCCTCTCTTTGGTCTTCAGTCTCTTAGGTGTGGACTTCTGGAATTGACACCCCTATATGTGACTATGGCTGGAATAAGGCTCCAAAAGGCCAAGGGCCATGTCTGCATGGATCCCATGTATTTAGCACCTAGTACAAAGCTGAAGCCATATAGGTTGTAGATAAATGTTTATTGAATTAGCAAAGTTTATGTTATTCTATTTATGTCTTTTTTTTTTTTTTTTTTTTTTTTTTTTTTTTTTTTTTTTTTTTTTTTTTTTGTGAGACAGAGTTTGCTCTTGTCGTCCAGGCTGGAGTGCAGTGGCGTGATCTTGGCTTACTGCAACCTCCACCTCCACCTTCAGAGTAGTTGAGATTACAGGCACACGCCACCATGCCTGGATAATTTCTTTTTTTTTTTTTTTTGTATTTTTAGTAGAAACAGGGTTTCACCATGTTAGCCAGGCTGGTCTTGAACTCCTTACCTCTGATGATCCACCCACCTCAGCCGTCCAAAGTGCTGGAATTACAGGCGTGAGCCACTGCACCAGGCTTATTCTGTTTATTTCTACATGTTCTCTCCTGGTGTTCATTAAATAACATACTTAAACTTCATCCTTGATTCATTCATTCATTCATTCAACTACTGAGTACTTACCACATGCCAGATACTGTTCTGGGCACTAGGGACATAAATAAAGAGGTAAAGTTCCTGTTCTCATAGAGTTTACAGTTCTAGTGTGGTAAACAGAAAACAAATATAAATATATGTCAGGTGGTGATAAATGCTAAGAAGTGTGAAAGCTGTTCATAAGAATTGGGCCATTCTTGTCATACCTAACTAAAACAAAGTCGAGAAATTAGCTGGGGGAAGCACTGAGGATACAAAATATTGCTCCAGGAACGTATTTTCTGCAAGCTTGACTGCTGAAACTGCTTATTGTAACCCAAACCAGTTTTATCTATAGCTTCTGAGATAACTTGCTGCAACTCCAGGACTAATTTTGCCCACTGCAGTTGCTCACCAATTAGAGCTTGCCAGCTCCCCACACCCTTACTAGTGCCAATGAACTTTCTCAAAGAGGAATATGTAACATTCCTCCTTTTTGTAAAACCTCTAACTTTCTCTTTGTTCTTCAGAGAGGGCATCACTTTCAGTTCAAGCCAGAGACTATGTCTCCAAGTTTGTAAACTGATATTGTGAATAAAACTTTCTTTTATACTAGCTAGCCATCCTGGTGGTCCTTTGGATGACAGTAAAAAAAAAAAAAGGATAAGGAGGACTGCGAAGCAAAGGAGACTGAGAAGCAGCAGCCAATCAAGTAGGAAGAGAACAAGGAAAGAGTACTTTCTGGATCTCAAAACATGAACGAGTAGATTTTGAAATATTGATCAATGTGATTGCTGTTCTCCCCATACTAAATTATAATTTTACTTGTAAACCAAGGCTCCCTTCTCCTCCCCTGCCCTACCTAGGTAGACAGAAGTTACACACTATGGGACTGGAAACAAAAGGGACAAAGACTATAGTGAGTTAGGCCATTAGAAGCCTTCAGTAAGATGAAAAATATTGTTGCCTTGCAAGTGTTTCTGCTGGGAAAGAAGAAAGGAATGGGAGGAGCCAAAATGACTAACTAGACTAAGGACCACTGACCAGAGCCTGTAATCATTCACACTACTACTAAGAAGTGGCCTGGAAGCATGTAACCAAAGAGTTGTCAGCTGGTAAGGACCACCAATTGCCAATGGCCACCCCAGACCCTCAGTTTTGTCATTCCGTTTGTGCCCTGGGATTCTGCCCATCTGACAGAGAACTTGAAGCATGCTCACCACTGCCCCAAGATGAAAGACCTGGTAACCTTGTGGAGTGATGGTGATAGGAAAGGAACACCCTATTTTTGACCAAGGTGGAATTACACAAAACTTGTTTAAAGTGGGCCAGAGATCTGGGACATACAACACACGGCCTCTGTTTTACATACACACACATTCCTGGTATTCAGAATTCCCAAATGTACAGGTGAAGAAAACCAAGCAAAGAAGAAATAAATGGATTTGAGATAGGCATATGAGAAGAGGCTGGAAGCAGAGGACTGACATTTCAAGATGGGATAAGATCTCAGAATACTGATCAACTAAAATGGAAATCCCAATCTCAATGGAAAGTTTGTATTTCTCATCTTTCTTAAAACCCCACTTTGGCCGGGCGCAGTGGCTCACACCTGTAATCCCAGCACTTTGGGAGGCCGAGGTGGGTGGATCACGAGGTCAACAGATCGAGACCATCCTGGTCAACGTGGTGAAACCCCGTCTCTACTAAAAATACAAAAAATTAGCTGGGCATGGTGGCACGTGCCTGTAATCCCAGCTACTCAGGAGGCTGAGGCAGGAGAATTGCCTGAACCCAGGAGGCGGAGGTTGCAGTGAGCCAAGATCACGCCATTGCACTCCAGCCTGGGTAACAAGAGTGAAACTCCGTCTCAAAAAAACAACAACAACAACAAAAAAAAAAAAACCCACTTTGTCAAGAGTTGTTTTTAATGCAAATTGGAATGTGATTGACCTATGACCAAGGATTATATATATATAATATATATGGCTAAGAAATCTCAAGACATGCAATCTGGAGACCCAAGAGAGCTGAAGGTATAGTTGTAATCCAAGAACAATAGGCCTGGGAAGCAGAAAAACTGCTGGTGTAACTTTCAGTCTGAGGCCTAGGCTGAATCCAAATCCTTCTCAGATTCCTAGTCTGATGCAATATGATCTAAACCATATCATCCAAGTGTAAGTCTGTTCTCACACTGCTATAAGAAATGCCTGAAATTGAGTACTTTATAAAGAAAAGAGGTTTAATTGGCTCACAGTTCTGCAGACTGTACAGGAAGCATGGCAGCATCTGCTTCTGGGGGGGGCCTCAGGGAGCTCATGGGGGAAGGCAAAGTGGGAGCAGACATCTGTCGTGGCAGGAGAAGGACCAAGGGTGGGCAAGGGGAGGTGCTACACACTTCTAAACAACCAAGTCTCACTGGCTATCTCAAAACAGAACCAAGGGGTAAATCCACCCCTATGATCCAATCACCTCCCATCAGGCCCCACCTCCAACATTGGGAATTAGAATTTGACATGAGATTTGGGTGGGGACAGAGATCTAAATCATATCACCAAAGATGGGAGAAGACCAATGTCCCAGCCAGAAGACAGGCAGAGAGTAAATTCTCCCTTTCTCAGTCTTTTCCTTCTACTCAGGCTTCCAATGGCCTGGATGAGGCTCAGTCATGCTAAGGAGAGCAATAAGTCTACAGATTCAGATATTAATCTCATTCAGAAATACCTCCACAGACACTCAGAATAATGTTTAACCAAATATCTGGGCACACGATGGCCTAGTCAAGTTAACATGTAAAATTAACTATCACATATGGCTTCTTCCAAATACAGTTCAGGGCATTATTTTAAAAAGTTTTTCTAGGCACTGAAGGGCATCCATGGTGGTTAAATTGGGCCAGGGTCACTTAGAAGGATTAATTTCAGATCTGAATATCTGTCTTGGACAACCTTACCCCCTTATCTTTACATCCTCAGAGAGGGGTCACTGTAGGAATGAGGGAGTCACAGTGAAGGGAAAGTTAGAGAAGGGGAAAGGCCACCTGTGAAAGGCCAACCACACTGGGAGCAGAGAGGGGTAAATCCAGTCCAGACTGGAAAGCTTGAGGGAAGGCAGAAAAGACATATTCTTTGCTTTTTGGAAGACGGTATTAATCCCATTGCTTATCCTTTTACCCTCATCGGAGGCCTACCTGGAGAGGTGGGAAAAGGCACATAATCTTTGGTAGGAATAGAGGTATTGCAAAATCAGAGGACCTGAGCTTGGGGTGCTTGTGGCTTTGACAGGAGCTTTAGAATCTGAAAGGGTGAAGGGACTGTTATGGCCCTAGTAAGAAAGGAAAGGAAGTGGGATACTGGGGGATCTGCTTTGGTCTTTCTGTAGCCTTTCCCAAGGGCTAGATGAAAATGAAAACCTCAGGTTGTTCCGAATTGGTTTCTAGGCCAGCCCTCTATTACTAGGCTGGTGATGCTACAATTAATCAAAAGATCATTGACCCCTGATAGAGGTCTTTACTAGTGCCAAAATCTACCCAGCTGCACTTTCTGCATCCCACTCCCAACACATACACACAAACACACATGTACACCACATACACACTCAATTTTCAGCACTATGTAACTGGCAATCACAAAACATTTCAGTTGAATTAAGCCAGAGTTCAAATCAGAACGGTGAGGCAAAGCTAGAATATTAGAAAAAATTTATTTGCTATATGTTAGCCTCTTTCACATGGTTAATTTCATTTACTCCTTACATAAACCCTTTGAGATAGATAATATTATCACAGTTTTGATTATACTGAAACTAAGGATGAATAAGTTTAAGCAATTTGTTAAAATACCTTCCTAATAACCAGTAAGGCTTTGAAATCCAAGGCAAGTGCTGTTTCCACCACTATATTTAGGCTTTTGTACACCCAGAAGCAAGAAAATCATTCAGGAGACTGAGGCAAGACACAGGTAGAGAGAAAGGGGAGAAAAGTCAGGACAGCCAGCATGAAGAGTGTCTTCAGTCTCCTGAGTACTTTAGCTGTGGTCAGGTCTTGGACAATTCATGCTAATTTGAATGCAAATGAGCATTAATATGTTGTGTTCACTGGGAATCCATCCAAGGCTTTGATAATCGTTGGGAGTGGGAGGCAGGGAGACCTGCTATCTTGGTTTATACCCACCTGGACTTTTATATGGAAGGTTATGACTCTTCAATACACTCTGCTCTAGAGAGGCCCAAAAATGTTAATTCTAAAGTCAGTCTAGTATCTCCTAGCCTTAGAGGGGTCTGGGGGTGTCTGGGGAGCAGAACAAATATAACTGAGACCCTTCCCAGTCCAAGATATTCTGCAGATACTTTACTTTGGGTTATGGAAAAACAATAGAAGTAGTTACTACATAGGTAAAGGGCATATTTTAAAACACTAAAATTCTTTGATGTTAAAAGGATAGTAAAAGAAGTATCTGCTTATTATCTAAAACAGATGTTCTTTGTATTCTCTACCGCAGTCACCTCTGCCCATCTCTGATTTTCTTGCAGCTGTGGGAGAATGGATGTAGCCATCCTGACAGAATCCCATCTCAAGCACATACCATAACATCTTAGGCTATTTGGTTG